ACATATCATTTTAAACTCAAATATAAACGATTTTTGAAGCTTTTTTTTTAATGAAAATGTTCAGTTTGAGTTCGGTGTGCACCAGTGCCTGTAACTGGGTACCCAGTCAGATTGGCATCCAGTCATGATTGGGATCCAGTCATGACTGGGTACTTAGTCATTTGATGTTTATTCTGATAATCGAACAGTACTTCCCTCTTTTCTAATATATTGCAATGCATTGATTCTCAGGCTGATAAAATACTGATTTAAGCAAGAATATTGAATTGATTGAGTATTCTTATATTTCTATGTACCAATCGTTATAACGTAGAATATTATTAATATATTCCAGCAGTATTAGTAATTTACATTAGACAACACAGGAAGAAGTCCTTCTACTTTTCAAACTTAAATATATATATATAAATATAGGATATATTTGTCGCTAAGTCGACAGACGTTTCTCTCTCTCTCTTGCCGTCCAGTCATGCATTCAAATAACATAAAATTCTGTTTGAAAATTATTCAACCGTTTTGAAGGTGCCAAATAATTAAACTTTCATTATATGTGTTGTAAATTATAAGGGCAATATTAAATAGGCTTGCTATTCACAGATATATTCATACGAAGGGAATATTTGATAACATAGTAAAATGAAGAAAGTGGTAACTAATGTTTTTGATGGATGATAATTATTTTTGTAACTCAGCTTCTAAGTTTCTTTTTTTGTGAAACTTGTATATTCTTCAAAGAAAATGAGGAGCGTAAGTTTTGAGGCGAAGTTTTCGCAGTATCTCTCCGACACCGTTACAGCCCATCGCAGTCAGATAGCCCACATTATAGAAACTTTCCATTACAGACTTTTTAATTTAGATCATATAATTATTAGTTACAATGGTATTATTTGTGATTGTATTCAGTTCTTATAATAATGAAAATTATAAATTTAAAGAATTAGGACAATGAAAAGTCACGAATAAGTTAACAATAATAAAGGTGCAAAACAAGATGCTAGTTTTAAAGGAAAAGAATTCTTCTTAAGATATAGAAATAAAAAAGGGTCTTTCCTGCCAAGAGAGAATCAGGTGGAAAAAAGGATCGCCCTACAGAATTTTTACGCTCTATGTTTTGTATTGATGTGACGAAGTCAAAGAAGATAAATGAGTTCCACATTTGAGCCCCAAATGGGGCCATCCTGGCATGCTTTCTTTGATTCGACATGTATTCACCTTCAATGTAATCAAGGTATTCTAAAAATTCTTCTAGGAACTATCAGCCAAATAAAAATACAATTTGAAATTCAAAATACGAAACCGAATCGTTCATGACTAAAATTTCTGATTTAGTACTATTTTGATTGATTTCAAGCTTTCATTTAATACATGAGTCAGTCGTATTTGTTTTGATGTTTATTAAAACGAATCAGGCTTTTTCTATTTTTCATTCCAATATCGATCTTACAGGAAACATTTTTCTAAAACAAGCCGTTATAGAAATAAATTATTTGGAAGGATTATCTATAGCAAAGAGAATAGCTCAACAGATGATAATAAACGAAAACTATGCCTGAATAGATAGCTCGCAAAAGTTTAATGAAGACATGAAATTTATTTCAGGCCTCGCAGCGTGTGTACTTTCCTGATTTTTTTAAGGTGTCCTCATTGGCCTCCTTTTGACTAAAAAATCCTGATTTTGTCCTGATTTTTCAAGATTTATCTCTGTAGGACTACATAGGTGTCATTTTGATGTTTTAACGGGTGGGGCAAAACTTTTGCATTAGTTTTGTTTTTGATGTAGCGCTGTGATGGAATCTCGTAGAGACTTCATCATTTTTGTTAGAAAGAGCAAAGTGTCTAGTACAAAAATATGGAAATTAATCTCATTGGAAATGTTTGATAGAGGCTACAAACGCTTTAGAACGCAAAGCATTGAAAAATGATTCCTTAACTTATTTTTAGAGATTGGAACAAATTTCATTTAATCTGGCCAATCTTATTGTTACTCGTTGAATCCGAGTTTTACAAAGTACAACTAGCGAAGTCTGGTAGCAAAAAAAAAAAGAATCTCGTTGGATTTTTATAATGGCTGAAACGAATCCTTTAATGCTACCGTCCGATATCTTCATTTTTCATCATTCTTGATCACAGTCAGAAAAATAAATTCGATTCAGATAGAGTGATTGCTAGAAACTATATATTTCATATGAAAACCAAAGCTTGATGAGCCCTCTATTGCACGATATTATTTGAAATATGACACAGATTTTCTGTAAGATATTCAACCAAAGATTTGTTTTCATATTGAAAACCATAAATCCGCAAAATAAAATTTTTTAATGATATGCTCTCCTATTTATTCTCATGTACGTTATACCAATTATTTTAATATCACACAAAGGCTTTCTTTTTTTATAAACAACTATATATATAAGATTCTCAAAAGCACCGCATGACGATGAACAAAAAGCTCAAACAAAGAGCAGTCATCCTATTCCACGATGTTGAACATTGCGGAATCAGTTCCATCCAATTCCGGGAACTCCGTCATTATTCAGCAAAAGAGACCTATTCGATATCAATTGAGTTCCACGAATTCCGGGAATTGAGTGGAAATGGAATTAGTGGGAATTGGAAGGAATTCCGGAATCGAAAGGAATTCGATCGATATCGATGGGGTCTGTTCTGTAGAATCATAATCGAGTGCCCGGAATTGGACGGAGTCAGTTCCACCCCGGAACTGATTCCGCAATGTTCAACATCGCGGAATAGGATGTATTCTCTAAACAAATAGTTTCGGATTAAAAAAACCTGACCAAAGTTGTAGAGTCGCTTTTCAATGCTTTGCGTTATAAAGTGTCTGTAGCTTCTATCAAACATTTTCAATGAGATTAATTTCTATATTTTTGTACCAGACACTGCTCTTTCTAACAAAAAAAATGAAGTCTCTACGAGATTCCATCACAGCGCTACATCAAAAACAATATTAATGCAAAACTTTTGTCCCACCTGTTATTTTGTTATACTCAGCGTTTCTTAAAAATTTTATGGAAATATTTATTGAATATTTTCTATAAAGAGAAAGATGGCAGTCAAATTTTTCTTTTGTTCGTTTTTTCTTGTATTCACTTTAAGAATCGATTATTTCGAATTAATTGGTTTTTGAAAGCAACTATTTTATCATTAGCAATCGTCACCAGCACTTCTGGGGTATTTATATCATACAGTTTACGACCGCGCGTAGCTGCATTAAATTTTGTATTCCCTTATTTTAAAATTTCAGTCGATTTACTAAAGTTTTCTTGTAAACCCTTTTATTCATTTATCTATAACATGGTTGTTTTATATATGGGAAGAGCGAGAATATGAAGAAGAGGGAAAATAGCAGAGGGGGGAAGGAAGTGTGATGCAGGAAAATGGTTTGAGTGCCGAAATGATGCTTATAGAACCTTAAAAACTGCAAAAATGCGGATGTTTCTTATTTCTTTTTTACGACTATTTTCCTGATAAAAATGTGATTTCGGCTAAAATCAAATGGGACTCCTATAGTAATGGATGCCCCCTTCCGTAAGCCACGTGTCTGAGGATAAGAAAACGTATACACAATGCATAATTAGAGATAGTGAACGAAAAGCAAAAAGCAGAACTCGACAAATGTATTCAGCGAAATATAATCTCGTAATTTCAATGAACTATCATTGATTGACATACTTTTGTGCAGCCTTCATCCTGAACAATAGAACTATGATAAGACTTAAAAAGTCCTGATTTTAATCGAAATTTCTGATTTTTTTCTAAAATGTGTCCTGCCTATTTTCCTGATTTTCATACATAGGCCGCTGCGACCTCTGTTATTTATAGTATTCTAATTTGTAACGATTGATACATAGAAATATATGATTAGCCAATGGATTCAATGTTATAGTTTATATTAGTACTTCAATAGCCTAAGAATCACTGTATGACAATATATTAGAAAAGAAGAAAGTACTACTCGACTAATAGACTACAGATCAAATGGCTGAGTACCCAGTCGTGACTGGGTCCCAGTCAGTGACTGGGTATCCAGTCGGACTGGGACCCAGTTCACCAATCAGAACTGGGACTGGTGCATCCCTACCCATACCCACACCCACACCCACATCCTCTTAGAAATAGACGAACATGGCGATTTGAGACCAGTATTTTTGGTTGATATAGAATGTAAGTGTGTGTCAGAGAATAGGAGACTTATACTCACACATACACTCACATCTTTCATAATAGTGGCATTTAAACCTACATTCGATATGTGCTTTTCTAGAAAAACGATTTGAGCAATGGCACATGGCTATCCTGGACAAGAACCACAAGTATATGTGATGTCAGAAGATGAAGCACACAGTTTGTTGGAACGTCACAGTCATATGGATGTATTCAAGAAAGTTCAAGAAGCCAAGGATGATTTTGGAAATAAGAAAAAGAAGCTTCAACAAGCAATGTACTTGCATTCGGTTGGTAAGATACTTCATTTCGAGACATTGCCATCTTCAAGACAATATGATTCTGAAATTGTCGAACAGTATCTTGAAAAAGCCATACTCTATCAAAATGCAGCTCAACTTCTTGAAAAACGTGAAGAGTTTGCTGTGATTGAGGACGACTTTGGACCAATGCTGGAACAATACTAAAAGATGGTAACACACCATCCTTTCAAAATCTAGTTGGGGCCTGCAGTAAATACGACAACGAAAAAAGTATCAAAATGCATCGTGCTAAGAGTGATGAAACCTATCTATATTTTTGACAACGAGGAGTTCCCAAGGATGATGCGAGAACATATGCTTTTGCTCTCGCATTTTATACAGGTGTATACAGTTGGGCAATGAATATGGAAGCACATATCTTTGCACGACGATTAGTGAAACAGGAACACATGTCTTCGAACGACGCCGAAGTTGATAGTAATGCAGCCGTGATCATGTTTTATCTCATTAAAAGGTTCATCTATGAAGGGTATCCATCAGTAGTGAACAGGGGGAGGGGCCGGAGGAAGAAGCAGATAATCGAATAGAAAGGGCTCAGTCACAAATGTGTAGTCACAGAGTTAAGCTGAAGTTATCTATGGAGTCGAGCGAGCTAGAAGTGAGGAGTCAAATCGTGCCATTTTTGAGAGGCATCCTTCTTGGATTGTCTGAAAGGTCTCTCACATATCGATTTCTATTTGGGTGTGGTGAAGGGATTCGTAAAATTGTCTGATAAAGACCTACAGGATTACAGACCTGGCGAAATCGTAACATGACTTCAATTCGGCAGTTTGGATAAGGGTGGACGAAATATTTCTTGATTTCAAGATCGTAACACGGTTTTTACCATATTTTCACTCACTGGTCGAAGTATAAAATACTTTTCGAATTGTGCTCAAGAAGAAGATGAAGTTCTTTTTCTGCCTGATTCATCCTTTCTTGTATGCCTCGTGGCGTATGATGAAAATTTCAGAAAACATCACATACATTTGCGACAGGTAGGTGACGTCTTTCATGATTTAGTTAATGAACATATTTGGATCTCATAGATCAAACTAGGGCTATGCAAATACGTAGTGATGTGGGTCGATGATAATATTTTTAATGAAAGCTGGGAAAACAAAAAACATGGAAAAGCAACTACGCTAGGAACTCGTGTCAACATTCATTTCATTCCAAAATCAAACACAGAATCAGCACTTGCATTTCTTCGTTCGGCATTCGGACAACGACTCAAAGAAAGCGACACATTTTGCATTGTCACTGATATGAACCGAACGAATGAGAACTATCCTAGCATAGCCGGTGCTCGACTAATAGATGAAGTGCGAAAACTCGGTTTCAATCATTGTTGCCTAATATTCACGGGAGATGACGAATCAGCAAAAAAGAAGTTGAATGAGCAATTAACCGTCAAGAAACTGGATGGAATCAAGGTGACCGAAGATCAGGCTGAGCTAGAAAAGTCTGTACTTTTTAAACAATGTTAAAATTCGCATTTTAACAGCCATTTTTTTTGTTGACATATTTCCATTTACAAGAGCGTTCCATTTAAATACATTTGATCATTTTAATATTTGTATTCTATCTTTGTCGTTTTTGTGACGAAAGGATAAGTATGGACAAGTGGTTGTGAGTAAAGGCAGGATCGAGTGTGAATGTAAGTATGGGTGAATATAAGACTCAAACTCGCATTAACATTGACTCCTATTCTGCTGTTGCAGCGATATTTTCATGATCTCTGTTGTTTAAAACAACAATTACCATTGCTACCGAAAACGAGTAGTTAGCATCGCTCAAGTTGTATTATTTGATCTGAAGAGAACTTTTATCAATGCAGACAATTGACTATTCATGACATTTGATGGAACTTCAAAGAAACGTCGAAATTGGGGTCATGGTGGCTTCTATTCACAGTTTTACTCTCACTTTCATTGTCAACGTATAGTAAGTACGAGTGGTGACTGTCAGCAGTGTATTCTGCAAAACATAATTTGATCGCTTTTGCTAGGTATGAAAAGTTGAGACTTTAGGCTAGCATGATCGATGAAAAGTAATTAATCTAGCCTCTTTTATACAGACAATCTTTTTGCATTAATGATCGACCCTTGCCGCTTTGAAGACCTGTTGCAAATAATCTTATTTCGTCCAAAAAGATCTGATCAGATATTGTTATTCCGAGCTTTATGTCGAAAGAGGTAGGCAGATAGAGCAGAGATTTATTTGGACTCCTGCGAATCAAGCGAAAATGTTGGGGTACTGAACTTGACTTCTTATTGAGGATTGTTCATATTTTGGTCACTGTCGATTTTGAGTGTGGGTGTTTTTCTCTTTATACAACACTCACACTTGCATTATCATGCTTGTTCATATATTAAATAAGCTATTGAGACGAGAACTCAATTGTTTTCAATTTTTCTTTTTGGAGATCTTGAAACAAAATTTTGTTAAGAACAGGACGAAAGACAATCAGGTAATAACTTGTGTTCTATTGTCCTTGCTCCGAAGGATATCTCATATGTTAGTTTTGATAGTTATTCTGCATTGATGTGAAAAACCAACCATCTGTAAGTCAACAGCTTTGCTTTTTATCTCTACAGTAATAGGTATGAGAATTTTCGCAGCTGTGTGTTACATGAATGTTGCTGTTTGTTCTCTAATATCATTGTTATTATAGTCCAGCTAGCTCGAGAAAGAGCAGAGAAAACGACAATTATGCGTATCATATTGTTCTTTCTAATCATTGGTGTGACTACTTGTACAACTTCGATTCCATTTGATGGAATAATTCGTCCATCAGGCGATGGTAGTTCTTATGCTTTTCTTACACCACCAAAGGAAGGCAATCATGCAGCATTCATTGAACAATTGACACCGAGTGGTACTCTAGCTGTTGCATGGTTTACGGGTGGTGAAGGAAGCCCCAATTGTTCGATTGCCTTATCACTTTTAGCTGTTAGATCAGAACAATTTACACCTGGTGTCATTGTCAGTCAACGTACCAATTATTCAAATCAAAATCCTGTTCTCCTTTGGAATGATCGTACGCAAATTCTACATTTGTACCATTCTTCACAATTGGGTGATGGTCCAGAAAGTTCATCTGAACTATGGCATTTGCAAAGTCAAGATAAAGGTAAAGGTTTGCTCCAAAAATATATGAATCTATTTATTCTATTTTTTAGGTGTTACATGGTCTAAAGGCAGTTCATTTTATTCATTACCAGGTGCATTTGATCGAAATCGTATTGTTCCTACATTAGATAATCAAGGTCTTATCTATCCTTGTTATAATTCTTCACCAACATATGATTATTCATTTATACTTCGATCAACATCGGATACTTCAATATGGACACGTATTAACATGACAAATAGTGAAGATCTGATACAAGCTTCTATTGTTCGTTTATATAATTCAAAAATATTACGATCCTTTTTTCGTGATGAAAATGCGGAATCTATCTATTATTCTGATAGTAATGATGATGGTTTAACTTGGACAGTACCAAAGCGTACAACATTGCCAAGTAATAATGCTGGAATTCATGCAAATACATTAAAAACGGGTGCTGTTATTATGGTATTTAACAATCATAATGGAACTCATCAGCCAAGATCTCCGTTAACAGTAGCACTTTCATACGATAATGGAATGACATGGCCCTATCAAAGAAATATTCAAGTCCATGATGATGACAATAGTACATCTGTCGGGGAATATTCTTATCCAGCAATATTACAAAGTTTTTGGGCTGGTAGCGATGATAATGATATTCATCTTGTTTTTACTTATGATCGACAAACAATTAAATACATTCGTTTTAATGAAAAATGGATTAAACGAGGACAAAAAATATCCTATTAGAAAGTTTCTTTATTTTATTCAATTCTGTACGAAGTAAATTTAGAATATAAAAATAATAAATAACTATTACTAATTGGAAAAGTCAGTTTTGCCATTCATCAATGCTTTTGTAAACAGATCTTGTCATACACTAACTAATGAGTGTAATTTTTGATTTCGCTCAAGAAAATCAGTGATCGATTTCATCTATCCATTATATTTTTCTTTTTGACGATCATTTTATTTGCGCAATGGATCCCATCAAAATGAACCTTTTCTTGCTCACATTCATTTGTTGTGAAACAGAGTGTAATTCTTCTCTTGAACTACACCTACATCCACACTCTATCATTATCATTCGGTATTGAGCATCTGCTCATCTTATGACACCTCGTTTAGATTCGTTCTTTCCATGCATATTTAAAAAAAGAGCGATTATGACACGACGATCATGGTTGATTAATTATATATTGCAGTGCATCTAAATTTTACATTCTCATATGCATGATACATCTACGAACGTGAAATATGTCCTTATATTTGCGTCCCATACTGAAAGATGTAATTACTGGCGCAGTGCGTGGCGCAACAACCGCTATGATTTCACACCCACTGGAAACATTGTTTACTCATTTGTAAAACAATTTACTTGAATCTAATCAAAATCTCCTACAATCTATTCCATATATTTATAAAAGGCAAGGTTTAATTGATGGGTTCTATCGAAGTAATTTAAGCATACCGTTGATCAGTTCGGCATTTGTTATGTCGACACAATACTTATTGTATGGACTGATAAGTCGATATAACAATAACCGTCAGAATGAAGGTGAGCGTACAATTAAAAACTGTTTTCTTGCTGGTGCTCTCACTGGTTGTGGATCATCATTCGTTGAAACGCATATTGCCACTTGTTAATGGACAGATTAAAGAACATTTGTATTGTCGTCATACACACGTATTTGACTTTCACACAAAAGATTGTTGTAAATATATTTATCAATATAACGACGGTTTACGCGGTTTTTATAAAGGATTCTTCGCGTATCTCATTTGTTCAATACCTATGTCGATGTTTTATTTTGGCGCTTATGATTATGTGAAAAATCATCTTGATGAAACACACATATGATTCTTTGGCCATACGAACAAAGAGAAACATTTACGTATGGGTATTTTGTTCAGTGGAGCAAAGGGTGGCTTTTGCGCCTGGTCAATTTGTTATCCACTGGATAGAGTTATATCGAAAATTCATTCAGATGATTTTAGACGTGAACGTCGTAAATATACATCGTATGTCGATTGTGTTAAACAAATG